CAAAGAAAAAGAGAAGAGGTTGTGCCCGGATCTCAAATAGTTTATGCAGCCATCTTCAGGCAGCTGTTCCTCTTTCTGCAACTTTCAAAACAGAGAAAGGCTTGAGGTTTGCCCCCGTAGGAAGGCAACCCAGAGACTGTGTTCATAAAAATATAAAGAAAAAAATTGCCTCCTATCTCAGGGGGGCCCTTTGAATTACACTTTGGTTTGGGGCTGTTTTCCACTTTTAACGTTACGGACGGAATCGTTTTTTTACCATCATTTTCAACTCGATCCAGGTTGGTTGTGATGAGCGAGTCTTTTTCCAGTTGCAAAATGGGCCATCTGGAAACTCTTTTCTGTCATCTACAGAATTCCCCACTGTGCCATTTGGGGGTCCAACTCCATGTCTCTTATGAAGAGTTCACAGATCCACTTGCCAGGGGGGAATATTTTATGGCTTATCAGCAAGTACAGAGATCTCATCTCTACTAGAATTTCTCTATTTAGTCGGTTAGGAAAAATCAGGGAGTCCAGAGCAGTTCAGTAGGAAGTATGAAAAATAGTTGTCAGTAAGCCAACATTCATCTTGCATTCTGGACCTTATAACTCAGTGCCTCCCAAATCTCAGTAAATTATTCAAAATTGGGGGAAAGTATTTTTTTCTTTAAGTAAATAAATGAACCCATTACCCAATCAAACCAGGAACATTTAAAGATTGTTACCTGTACTAAAATTTACTCCCAAATCTCCTGCAATCCCTTGAAGATGAAAATTTGTGGAAATACGGGTGGTTATTGGTTGATTTCACATTAAGTTCATTCAGCGATAACATTTTTTATAATGCAGACAGTTCTCGAGTTACGGCCATTTGTTCAGTCACTGTTTGAAATGAAGGGACTTAATGATTGGTTCTTGAATTTCAATAAGACTTTCTGATTAGTGCTTTGGGAAATTAAGGAACAAGGTTGGTAAGCATAGTTCTAGCCAATTTATTCAGGCAGTTTCTTACGAACCCAAGAAGGCTGCTTTCATGTCTATGGTGTGTCACAGAGACAGATTTTTTTTACCATCAGTGGTGAAATCACAGGTGGCTGATGACTGGAACATATCAGGAATTATTCTGTGGAAGCATCTATGGGGTGACTTGAAAGAAAGCAGGTTCTTTTATTCTAGGTTCACACAACATACACTGGGGATCCCCAGTGCCTCAGGGAAAGCTGGCAAGAGTTGGCATCATGATTGCCAAGAAAACTTCTTGCCTGCTGCCATTTTATAAAAGTAATGATAGTTCAACTGGCACCACACAGTCGTAAGCTGGTTTATGTACCACAAGGGATCTTGTCCTGTTTTCGCTTAATGCGGAGAACGTGAGCCCAATCAACTGTAGCTCATCCAATAAGCCACAAGTTAAACAAACCACAGAGAAGCGAGGTGCACGGGCTGGGTTTCCCTTGGAAAAACTGATCCAAGATAGTAACTCTGCTGCTTCAGAAGGGTGCTAAGCTTGTTGGCTTTTCTCCTGCAAACCCAACAAGGAGCTGATACAGATTAACACAGTTGGAAGGGACCTTGCAGGTCATCTAATTCAACCCCCTGCACAAGCAGGAGACCCTACACCATTTCTGACAGATGGGAGTCCAATCTCTTCTTGAAAGCCTCCAGTGATGAAGCTCCCACAACTTCCGAGGGCAACTTCTGTTCCATTGGTTGATTGTTCTCACTGTCAGAAAATTCCTCCTTATTTCCAGGTTGAATTTCTCCTTGTTCAGTTTCCATCCATTATTCCTTATCTGGCCTTCGGGTGCTTTAGAAAATAGCTTGACCCCTTCCTCCTCTCTGTGGCAGCCCCTCAAATATTGGAAGACTGCTATCATGTCTCCCCTGGTCCTTCTCTTTACTAGACTAGCCAAGTCCAGTTCCTGTAACCATTCTTCATATCTTTTAGTCTCCAGTCCCCTAATCATCCTAGTTGCTGTTCTTGGTTGCATCGGAACATCCCCCAAATTTCTGCTGCAAATTAGCCGTAACCTGGGACAACAAATCAATCATAAACAGCCTGGATATAGAGCATTATCTCTTCCCAACCTGCCAAGATCCACAGGGATGGCTGTTGAGAAGGTTGGTGAATTAGGCCAGTCATCTCGGAAAGCATGCTGCTTTGGAACCAAGAACAAGATGCTTGGAAGTTTTAGCAAGCATGCTTCATTCTTAGTCATGAGCGCTAATGGGACGTACGTTGTTCCCTTTGGCCCAGCTGTCAGAACTAAAAGAGAGTGTTATGTCTGCCTGCCTGCTTGCCTCCCTCCCTCCCTTTTGATTCCATTATTCCCCCTTTGGGAGGGGCTGTTGGGGGGGCTCCTCTGGTTTCTAATGTTGTAATCAACTCTGCTCTTTAAAAGAAAAGGGCACCATAGCAACCAGACAGCTTTCCTTTTTTTCTTTTAACTCCTTCCTGGCTTTGTTATGTCATAAGGCAGGGTTCTTTTCCTTTCTCTACCCCCCCCCCCCCCCCCCATTTTTTTTTAAAATCATCT